AGCACTTGCAATATCTCTCTATCTACACAAAAATAGAAGGTTCTATCATGGAACAGCGACCACAAGTACCCATAATAGGAAATAAGGTGCTATACTTGGCTATATCACAACTTCAAATGCGTCAATAATATGTCTGATTATACAATTATTATCTACCTATTATCAAAAGCTCATTATAGTTATTTATGTATCAAGGGTACTAAGTAGATGATTATGCCCTGAGGGCGACAGCCTTACAAAGCCGAGGGCCTCTGGCCGAAGGTTCGTAAGTCGCCCGAGGGTATATGTCTATTAGTACCCGGGGTGCATACAAACTTTTATGTCATACCAGGGGGTATGACTTTATTTGAAATCGATGCAACTTTGCGTACACGCAAACGACGTCATTTGCGGCGTAATTGTCAACCTGATATTTAGAACCATCGTCACCAAAAGTAACTGGGACAGCATCATATCAGCTCTTGTACTATTATATGAATTTTAGTGTCAAATATGTGTCAAACTATGTATTAAATGCATTGAAATGAATGACGGTTGAATTAGTCCAGGAGATTGATATGAATTATTTTTGTCCCAGATACTTTTGCTGACGATGGTACATTATGCCCGCGCGGGTCAGAATGTGTACTGTATGCCTGCACGGGCATAAAGTGATGAATTATGTAGATGGTATCTAAGGTATAAAAAGACAATAATGTACTGGTATGACATAAAATAAAGTTTGTCCTACCTTTGGATTTTAACGCAAATTTTAGCATAAATGCTTTACCTAACTGGTCAATAAATTATGGACCAGTTTTTTGAAATGATCTTATTTTCTCATATAATATTATGTCTAATTGTTATTGATTTATTTAAATATTATACTCAAATACATAAACTAAAAGCCACTATATTCTTATAATGTATCTATATCTGTATCTTGGAAAATTACGACGCTTTTTCACAGAAATAGTGCACTTTCCGCTGTTTCAGACGAGAAGCGACCATCTAGGCCTGAAAATACATACGGACCGTGCACCACACAGAATCAATCGCGTGCCAAGGGAATTTCAACCATCCTCGCATCTCCGCGTCCGGGCATGGTCGCCACGACATACTTTTACATTTTACAGATTTTTGACAAAACGACTTATCGGATTTTTGATTATAAAAAAGCATTTTAATCCCTGATCTTTGATCTACAGCGTTTATAGAAAGTGTTTTTTTGATTAGAATAAGAATTTTTGAGTTATCTATGTGTGAATGATGTTGCAATTTTGATGTTTCAGTGCGAGCTGTTTTATATTAAGGTACTCCATATAAATGCGTGTTGTACAAACATTTCAAAATTCGAAATAAAATACTTCTACTTGGAATTTTGAAATAAAACTTTTACAGATCATTGAACACGTAGTGTAGATTCGAAAAATGAAAAAAAAAAAAATTTGCAATTTTTTGGAAAACTACCCCAAACTACCCCCCTGCACCCCACGATTTTTTGACGACCAATCGATTTTGCTTTCTTAAGATGTGAGGAACGATATAAAATAGGTTTTACATTTTAGCAATAAAGTGCGGACGAAAATCTTTTCTAGAAGGATTATTTCATGGTCTTAACTCTACTATTATTATTGATTGTTATTTTTATTATTATTATTAAGACGTCATGATTGTAATATGTACAGAAAACTCATTTTTCCTGTAATTGGGACTTGTTCCTGTTGGAAATAAAGGCTTATTTATTTATTTATTTATTTATAATTCATTGTAATATAATTATATTTCTTTTTTTTCTGTTAATTTATTAATGAAATGAAATAATTGAATAGTGAACAATGAATTGAAATAAAATAAAATCTAAATTATCGATTTATAATTGTATTGAAATGTCAAATATAAAATAAGCTAGGTTTTATGTATGATTTTGTTTAATAATGATTTTTTCATTTTAAATACGACCCACCCATCCATACTATGAGAGCTTATTACGATAATGTAACCCATTTTAGCCTATTTGAGTTACGTTATAAGTTGTATTATCGTACTAGTGATGTAATGAGCTTCTTATATCACTAGTCATTTAATAGGCTCATTACGTAACTTATTTTTTATTTATGAATATTAAAAGTAGAACTACCTGATGCTGCTGATAGTGTTGCTTGAAGTCCTTGTTGAGAAAATACTTTCTTCCAGCCTTGAGCTTTAAGCTCACCGAATAATCTATTGTGGAAAATCAGAACCATCGAATGCGTAAAACAAAAATCTGAGTTGTAGATAAAATGTATATCACACGTACGGTAACGCTCATTATAGTACTCGTGTGGTTACCACGACTCCGTCTACAGCCGCGTCGTGACAATATTTCCATTCGATTGACAATTTTTTTCTCATAATTTAAAAAAAAAAGGTTTCGGCAAGTATTTCGAAAATTTTATATATTTTTTGCAATCTGGGGGCGTCTGGCAAGGCTTTAAACCCGTGAAAATCGTCTGGCATTATTACAGCCTTGTTAAGGAAACATTTTTGAATGATATGCCGCAAAAATTGACCATCGGCAAATAGTTCGATTTTCGTGAATTTTTTAATGACTTATTAATTATGCCTATGCCAAACTTCCCTACTACATGCTGCCAGACTATGGTTTTCGATCTCGAGGGATAATATTACATCGTTTAAGCATGAAATTTTCCATCGGCAACTTTTTACGGAAAAAAATTCACTGGCTCTTAGACTATAACGCGCTTTCCTAATGGTAAATCTGTGGTTGTGGTTGTAAAGACGTGAATAAAACAGTCGCAGTCAGGGTCATAGACAAATTGTGTAGCTCTCCGCTTGTTTGGCTCGCATTCCATAATTATGTCAAGATTATCCTCTTTTACAGCTTTGTACCTTAGATCATGTACTGCATATGGCACCTATTGTAGTTCAGCTGTGCTACCTGCTACCCGTATTTTACTGTACAGTGTAGATTTTGGGGTGTTTTCTGTCTGCTCGCTGGTCTGCATCTTTGTTTATTTAGATGGCTGTGGTGTTCAAAAATGGGCTTCGTAACATCTGAATCTGCAGAAGTTTGATCGCTGTATCGCTTTTATTGTAGGATATGATGTTTTTACTGGCCAACGGTGGTGTATTGTCTTGTCTGCTGTTCATTCTTTTCTGTCTTTTAGTCTTATACAGATTATCTCGAAATACTTTACAGCGACCTTTTCACGCGCTGTGTCCTGCTTCACATTTGACGACAATAAAAATTGAATATGAGATTGATCGCCTATGATGATTCTGATGATAATAGGTCTGTTTCCACAGAAATCACAAACCAGTCGGAGTGTTTTTGATTGGTCCAGATCGCCAACAATCAGTTTTCTGACTATTTTTAACCAATGAAATTTGCTCTGACTGGTTTGTGATTTCTGTAAAAACAGACCTAATGTCTTTCCGGTGCCTATACTTTATGGGTTCATCTTCAGGTTCAGAGACATTGTGATGACAGGACAGAAATAATATGTATGTTTATTATTTGAGAGAAGGAAATCCAGATTTTATAGCTTCCAGCCTTCTGGTTGGCCTGTAATAAATTAGTTTAGTCCCGGGCAACCTGTTGTACTGGATGGTTTGAGACAAGACTGGCAAATTCTTTAAATATTTATTATTTTAATTTAAACTTAGAAAACTTTCCAATATTTTAAGTAATTTCTACAAATGCTAATTTAAATTATTTTCAATTTATTGCTACTAAATCAGAACTTCTCTTCAAATATTGGAAATATAGTTAAAATTAGCTTATATTAGCTTTGAGATTTTCTATTTAAATCACTTAGATTTTTGAAAACATATTAGGAAGTAGCAAGTTCATAACGATGTCTGATTGATTTCAGAACATTTTCAAGTACGCCCTTTCATAGAATTATTATTAACATAATCTATCTGGTCGTTTTTCAGAAACCTTTAGGGTAGATACCTGGCTTTGGAATAAAATTTTTAAGTAACATTTTCTAATCTGCGTGTTATTTATTTGTAGGTACCTAAAGTTTTTTAGTTGAAGTTTCTCTTTTTACTTTTTTTCCAACCAGTTTTGATAATAACACAAATTATATCAATGTATCTCAAAACCGATCAATACATACATACATAAATTAAGGTGTAACAATAGATGTATTAACTTCTAGTGGTGAAATCTTTCCTTTCCCCCCATAACCTCTTTTTAGGATAAACCCTTAGTCGTTGCAGCCAAGTGTAGATAAAGTGGTGGCACCGCTGACCACAAACAACTTGTAAGTTTTTTCAAATTTATCAATTATATCAAATATTTTAGTTGTAACTGAAAAAGCAATAAAAATATTGCGATAGATTTGATGGAATTTTTTTTTTGGAAATAAATATTGGACGTATCCTCACATCCTTTTATAGACTCAAATTCCGGAACTTCTGGATCTAAAAAATCTTGCATAGCTTCAAGGGGGTGTGATCTAAAAATGAAAGTTTTAGAGCGATAATAAATATTTAAATCGCATCTTGCTACGATGGTCCGTTTTCGAGTTAGGACAGTGTAAAGTGAAAACTAGGTGTTTGTGACGTCACACTGGATTATCAGGGACAGTATAAACACGTGTAAAATTTTCCAAAACAAAAGGCAATATCTCACTAGAGCGAATTGCAACCACTCAAATTATAGGGTACGGTTCACTGACGTCACTGACGACTGAACGAACAGAAGACTGCAATATCGGCGGTTGTGACATCACGAGTTCCTGGATAATTTATCTTCACAAGGAATTTTCTCGGAGACTATTTTGAATATAGGACTGTGGTTATCACGAGAGATCTTAGAATTTTTTTCTTGATTAAGGTAGCTTAAGTCGTTTTTTAGGGTCACGCCCCTTTAACTTACATCCTAAATCCTAAAATTTACTAGATATTACTCTTTGTTTTGTTTTCAAAAGTTATGGCATGGAAAAAATTTAGGAAAATACCGAAAATTATCATATGAATATTATAAAAAACTGTTTTTTTTTTTATAGATTGAAACTGTAGGTCCCGATTCAATTTTTCCAGACTGCACGTGGATAATAGGTAATCACTCTGACGAACTGACTCCCTGGATACCCGTAATGGCATTGAAAAGCAGTCCGAAAACAAACTACTTTGTTTTGCCTTGCTGTACTTATGATTTCAATGGACACAAGTTCATTCGCAGAAATAACTCAATCAGTGCTTATGCAGATTATATGTCTTACATCGAAGATATTTCTAATAAATGTGGCTTTGATACTGCAATTGATAAATTAAGAATTCCTTCAACTAAACGCACTTGCCTTGTGGGCAGGCAAAAAAGCATAGATGATGAAAAAAGACAAAGAATACTGACAGATATCGGAAAATTAGTTGAGGCAAAAACGGAAAATAGTTTTGTGCAAAGATCCGACATAGAAAAAGTAAGAAATTGCACTCAACTTGACAAAAATTTAATCTCAAACATAGTAAAAATGTGTATAAATGAATTATTGACAATAGAAAACTACATCGAGAAATCTGATGGAGAATTATGGAATCAGGGAGGGCAACTGACGATTTTGGATTTAGTAAAAGTAATTTCGAAAGACCAATTGAAGCAGCTCAAGCAAGAATGTGGCGGTTTGCAAACTTTATTAAGGAATCACAGATATTTGTTTGATTTGTCTGCTGGTTTTGTAAAAATTAGATTGCCAGTTAGTGCCGAAAATACATTGAAATATAAAAATAAACCTTGTTGGTTTATCAAAAATCATCCTCATGGTTGTTTATACGATGGAAATAATTGTGGATATACTCATGAATAAGATTGAGACAGTTTATTGATTATAATTTAAATCAAATATTGATTTATGAATAACATTGATAACTTCTGATATTATCAACTTTTTTGATAGTATTTTGAAAATAAAAAATATAGGCTCTATAATGTTTTAGTTTTATTTCATCCTTAGCTGTTAATGACTCGCCACGTTGTAGAGTTTCCATAAATTTATTTTTATCATTTATCATTAAATAAAAGGTTTTAGTTTATTCAGTCAACTGGCGCAGTCGGTTGGATAAAACAAACTATACCTCTCGATCCCAGTATCATTGTTAAGTTGTTGGCGAGCGGATTTATTCCGTTACAGCTTTATACTAGGGTGGCAACAGTGGTAGGGTTCGAAATCGCTGCAAGGTGGGAATAAGTACACAATTTTATTTATTTTAAAAATGTTTTCAACTTCATTTTATAAAGATGCAAACAACAATCCAAGTCTTATGAATTTATCTCTTAATAAAGCCATTTCTTCACTATATTAGAAATTCTTTTCTTTTTGAATCTATAAAACCCGACAATATTTGCAGGTGTTATTGAAACTTTCGGTTCATGGCCTTACTTTACTTTAGAACTCATGTTTATTGCAATAATTTTACAGTAAATTTTTATGCATAATGTTAATGACAAGCTAAACTAACATGGTGTGCACCTTAAGATATTTTAACTAAAAATAAGTAAAATAAAACGGACAAGTTGTCTTGAAGAGACTTTCTTGAACCTAAACTTAAAATTAGATGGTCGTGGTCCTGGTCCTCGTCGGGGGTTCCTGGTCCTGGATGGCTTCTGCTTCGACAGAGTTAGGTGAGGGCTTCCTGCGTCGGACTACCTCCCCTGGCGGGGGAAGCTGTCTCTGGCATTCGGCGTCCTGTGTCTGCCTAGCTTCCTGCTGCGTGCGTCCGTCAGTCGGAGGGGCACGCTGCAGTAGGCTTTGAAGGAAGACTTTCTGCGTCGGACTACCTCCCCAGGCTGGGGAAGCTGTCTCGGGCAATCAGTGTCCTGTGTTTGGCTGGCTTCCTGCCGCTTGCGTCCCTCCTGGGAGGGGCATGCAGCAGTAGGCTTATAAGGCTGGCTTCCTGCCTCCGATAGGCTTCCCAGGCTGGGAGGCTGTCTCTTTGGCAGTAGGCGTCCTGTTTGACTTCTCAGGTTTGAGAAGTCGTGTGCGGCTTTCCGCTGCGTATAATCCTCAACCCCTGCTCAATCCAGGGCTGATGATGCACGCAGCAGTAGGCCTGCTATGGTGGGTAATCATCGTTTGGAACTCTGTAGGAGCCTCTCTCGTGTTGAGGGGGGGCCCGGTGGGAGTCCCGGATGGTCTGGCTGGTGTGAGCTCTGGCAATCAAGAAGTAGTTGGTGTTCAGCTTCTTGATGTGTTCAGGTAGCGTCTCTAGTTCGTAGTCTCGATGAAGCGTCGTGTTTCTCATGTACCATGGGGCGTCCGCGATGATACGGAGAGATTTGTTTTGGCAGGCAGTCAGTCTTTCCAAGTGAGTGGGTGCCGTGGTTGACCATGTCGGGGATCCATAGGTGAGGATTGGCCTGAGCATGGATTTGTATGTCAGGAGTTTGCTGTGGATGGATAGCTTGCTCCTCCTCCCGGATATGAGAGGGAAGAGCTTTCGAAGTGTTGATTCTGTCTTGGCTCTGGTGATCATGATGTGTTGTCTCCAGGTGAGGCTTTGGTGAAGTGAAGGCCAAGGTATTTGGCGTTACTTTTCCAGGGGATGTCGTGTCCTGATAATCTCACGTGTCCATGAGGTCTGGCACGTGTACGTCTGAACAGAACAGCTTGAGTCTTGTTCGGGTTCAGTTTCATTTTCCACTTCTGCATCCAGGTTGCCAGAATGTTGGTGTATCTCTGGAGATACAGGGTGATCAGTCTGGATTGTTTGCTCTTGACGACGATGGCGGTGTCGTCGGCAAACTGGGCTAGTTGGATTTCTGGTCCAGCCGGAAATGGAATGTCGTGTGTGTATATGTTGAACAGCGTCGGAGCAAGCACGGAGCCTTATGGACTCCTGCGGTCATCGGTACTGCTAGGGGATTCCATTTGCTATCGAGATCGCGAAATCGAATCGCTTTCGTACTCGATACCAAATACGATATCGAGCAATCCGGAATTCCAATTCGAAATCGTATTCACCAACGGATAGGTCGGTATCGAAATCCGTAGCAACCGTAGCATTCAAGCGCATTTAGACAGAGAAGTGCCGCCAAACTTAATAAAATAATAAAAATCTCACTTGTAGCAGTTAGAAGTTGGATTGTTTTTGTTCTTTTATTAATTTTCTTGAGTTTTTTTGATTTGACGTCAACGGATAGATTTGCACTGTCGTATTTATTACTTTTTTTTCTCACTATTGTGGCGGCGGGTCAGTTAAGTTAGCCCCCCCCAAAGAAAATTTCTGGATGAAAATTATCCCATAATTTTGCTCTCATTTTGCTCCATTTTGCTCCACTAATTTCGATTTTTGCTCCATTACAGTGGAGAGACTATAGCCGATTAAACGCGATGGAATATTGATAACCTCGGTTATATCTTTGGTCAGTCGTTGGTTATCCTTGAAACAGCGATTGTCGACCCTTTTTGATTAACCTAAGAGAGCTTGCGTTTATGCTATGGTTATTCCGTTAACCCCATTTTTTTTGTTTATTCCGTTCTGTTCTATCTTGTGATTGTTTTTTGTTGAATTTTTACCAGAAATATACGGTACATAATTATTATTTTTATTATTTGGTGAAGTTTAGTGTTCAGTTTTGTGTTGACCTAGATCAAATCCTCAAAGATTGATTTTTCGATTAGTTCGAAGTTCATTTTTCGGGGTTGCACAAAAAAATACAACACACAAAACCAAACAGAACAACGAAAAACCCGTCAAAATCCGCCATTTCGGGTATTTCTCCTTTATTTACTTTCTTAGACAAGGACAGTCAGGACAGAACATAATAACCTAGCTCCAAAGGTGGGTTAAAAATGGTTGTACCAAAGATAAAAACAGCTGATTTAATACGTCACAAAGGGCCAAATGATGACGTCACTACGGAATGATCAAAAATAACCAAAACCGCGTTTACGTGAATGGTAATACAATTTTTGATTCGCTCATTAATATTTCATCGCGTTTAATCGGGTTATGTGGCCTATTAGGTGGGGGGGGGGGCTGTATTAACGCTAGCCCCCCCCAGTGAAAATTAAGAAATTTGATCATGCTCATTTTGTTCTCCGAGTTTTGCTCCATTTTGCTCCACTATCGGCAAGTTTTGCTCCATTACCAGGAGAGACCTACAGAGCTCCCAAAAGTCTCTCCTAGCCCCCCCCCGGTAAAAATTTTCAAATTTGAACATGCTCATTTTGTTCTCCGAGTTTTGCTCCGTTTTGCTCCATAATCGGCGAGTTTTGCTCCATTACCAGGAGAAACCTACAGAGCTCCCAAAAATCTCTCCTAGCCCCCCCCCCCCGGTGAATTTTTTTAAAAATTTGAACATGTCCATTCTGTTCTCCGAGTTTTGCTCCGTTTTGCTCCATTATCGGCGAGTTTTGCTCTATTACCAGGAGAGACTTACAGAGCTCCCAAGAATATCTTCTAGCCCCACCCCCCCGGTAAAAATTTTGAAATTTGAACATTCGGGCGAACAGAGTTTGGCGCTCTCAAGCTGCTCTCACTTTCCTCGCCTGTTCCCCTTGATGCACCTGTAGCTGATTTTCAAACGTTCGCGTGCAAAACGCATTGAGTATAATGGGCGTGAAATGCTCCAGGTGCTTCGCACACTGCACATGAAAGCGACTCTAGAATGAACTACACAGCTACGAGGAATATCTCCTAGCAACACGGGTGAAAATATTGGAGTTTTTATATGCGCATTTTGTTTTCCGAGCTTTGCTCCATTTTGCTCCATGATCGGCGAGTTTTGCTCCATTACTTGGAATGACCTCTAGGGTCCTTATTCTTGAAACAGGGGAGCAGCGTTTCCATGAGAAAGTGTGTTCCGCCTTTGTTGAAGTCCAGAGCACAGATCATGACGGACGACTTCTGAAGGGGAGAGGAAGCCAATGCGACAGAACTCATAGCGACAGATTTTATGAACCTAGCAAGCCTACCAAAACGATCGAGATATACTTAATAGCCTGTTGACTAGAAAAGGACAACAAATAATGCGTAGGAGTTGTGTGTGTTCGCGGTCGCACTCCTTCGGTCCTTCAATATTTTTGCGGCGGACTATACTCATAATAGTTGTATTCCTTTCAAGAGTTTGGAACACTCGAGCTACTCGCTCCGGTGTTAGTCAACATGATTTTAAAGGGAAAGATGCGAGGTGCAACAAACACTTTTCGAAAGGAATAAGCGCGTAACGCCCCGGAGCTGTTCCGGAGCTCCTCCTAGGTGTGAAAGGAATACAACTAATGTAATATGGGAACGGCCGTCAGATAAACTCGTTCTGCTCCAAAGTGAACAAGGAACGGTTTGGAACAGAAAGAAAGAGCAAGAAAATTGGATAAAGGAAGGCCAACAACCCTCAACTAACAGGATGGCTTTTCCCCATAAAGCCTCACTTGCGCAAAATTCTCTCTTTTTTGACATTGCTTCGACAATTTGACGTTTGATACACGCATAAAACGTCAAATTGTCGAAGCAATGTCAAAAGAAGAGCGAATTTAGCGCAAGTGAGAATGAGGCATAAGGGAGGATTTTCATGCATCCGTTTTTCCGTCGAAATATGTCCGTTTAACATTCTATTTTGACATATTTATATACGATTATGTCAGAATAGAATGTTAAACGAACATATTTCGTCGGAAAAACGGATGCATGAAAATCCTCCCTAAGGCGTACGTTCGCTTTTCGACTAGTCGTGACGTCACTGAAGTCTTGAGGTCTACATTGACGTCAAAATGACACAAATGGTGGGGAGTTTTCGCGTGGACATGGCAGACACTTTCAGCTAGATAAGCCATTCTATTAAGATTTAGGGTTCTTGAAGGAAGGCCAAGTTTTTGAATTCACCA